TATTTTACTTTTGGTCACAGCCAAGATCTGTATGACAAGCAATGACAGGCCAAGTCTATGTAAGTATGAAATACTAGAATAATAGGACAGAATCAAATAAGTTTAAGCCTAATTCTGCTGATGCAATACATTTGCATTGTCCATTTCTCTAAACATTATTTAAGTGCATCTTCTCAATGGTTGATCATTTGGGCTGTGACTACATACATACTCACCTAATACCTTCGTATCTTTGCTACAAGCAATCCATTTTTTTATGAATAGGAAGCTACTGATTGGCTTAGAGTGTCAGCTAACCACTCTAGCCAATCAGTGCCTGGCTGTATTCAATTTCAGAAGTCAGTTACTACTGGGGGAACTAGAGATCTCTTGCTGGATGCAACCTTTGGGGTTAAGCCAGTCAAGAATGGTTTAACCCCTCCAAATAAGAAGGTGCCGGGTGCCTCTTGGCAACATATCAGCTTCATTTTGAAGCTGTTATGGTGCCTGGTGAGCTCCTCTAAAGGTATACTATGGTCACCAGAATAACTACAGCAGGCATTTTAATGTAAACACTGCCTTTTCTCTGAAAAAGGAAGACCTCTTGTGGCAGTTCCACAGTATCACACAATATGCAGCACTGATGTTCAGTGTCTCCATACTAAGCATGGAGGCACCGAACAGTCCTCATAGAGATGCATTGATTCAATGTATCTCTGTGAGAAGATGCTGATTGGTGCATGTGCAATAGCCTCAAGTGCTTTCCTATGGAAGTTTGGGAAAAAGGTAAGTAAAATACTTTTTTCAGAGAGGAAAGGGGGAAGAGGGGGGGGACTAAATGTGTAAGCAACTTGAGTTGTCATTACAGTATTCTCTTGGACTCTTTTTTGGTAAAAACAAGATAATTGAGAAAAATGTATTTGCTATGCTCTACCAAAAGATTTAATCACTTGTCAAGTAAAAGAATACCTGTAACTATCGCTGAATAAGTAAAAAAGTAACTGACTTCATTGCATTCCTGATACTATAATGTTTCTTTAAAAACACTATGTTTTTCTGTTTAAAAAAGGGGGAATATCTAATAAAACTTAAAAAAATTATAAAAGCAAAATACAAAAACAGAAAAAAGGAAGAGATAAAATACACATATAGAACTAAAAATAGAGATTACAAAGTAAAGATTAAAAAATCAAGACAGTTGCCAACTCTAGTACTCTGTTACAAATGTAGCAGAATGAAAATAATACAACTTGCTTTTAATGAAAATTAAACCAGTACAACTTGATTTTAATGAGAATCAATCTCGTGTAATTAGAACACTGAAAAACTATCTCTAAGAAATTCATCTGCAAGCAGAATGATCAGTCTGTTCAATAAGATGTGTAAGTTTCACTTGTCCGTCAGGAGACACAGCTCTGCAGAAAAATTTAGTTGAAAGCCTCAGTTCATGGGACTTGAAGGGGCCACAAACTCCATTCACAGGGAATCCAGGACTAATTGAGTATTGATCTGAAGCATCCGCCTAATTTGTTCTCCACATGTGTTCCAGTATGGTAAGCCAAGAAGTTCACAAAGTAATACACCAGTCCAAAAGAAAGGAACCTATATTAATATACATACTGTTAACTAAAAGGCTACTGTGAATAGTTATCATGAGAAATATTAGCACCAGGGCCTGTGCAAGGAATTTTGCCGCCCTACGCAAAGATCCATTTTGCTGTCCCCTCATGCGTCACAAGTTTATTCGCTAAACTCCAAAAGAAACATATGCTATTTTTGCAGCATGTTTTTCTGCAAGCCCCTACTCTGTGCCTGATAATACTCAAATCAGAGGATTCTCATTGAGAAGAAGCCTACTATGCCTTATACATACACTCACACAAACTGTCTAATAGAGACACACACACACACACAACCCTCCCCCCCACCTGCCAGCATTGTATTTAAAAAACACTAATAAAAAAATGTTGGCCTCCCGCAGCACCCCATTTATGCATGTTCAGGTAAGTTCAGCCCCCTAGTTTCATGTATATATATATTTGTCAAATTCAACAGAAAATGCAACTTATAATGAATTCACCAGTCTCAAATGTATTCAGCCCCCTTCGTGGCAAGCATATTTTCTACTTAGTAGAGCACCCTTTTGCTGTTATGACCTGCTGCAAATGAGATGCATAGCCAGATACCAATGACCTCCAGTTCAGTAATATTTTTGGCTTTGTGTGCTGCAACTGTCTTCTTCAAATCCCATCAGGTGACTGTGATGGCCACTGTAGAATTTTCCAGGACTTCTTCTATACCCAAGCCTTGATTGAATTTTAGGTATGCTTGGGATCATTGTCTTGTTGGAAGGTCCAATGATGCCTAAGCTTCAGTTTCCTCACAGACGGCATGATGTTTTCTCTTAGTTATTTCTGATACTTCAATTAATCAGTCTTGCCTTCCACATGCTGCAGGTTTCCAGTGCCAGAGGATACAAAGCAGCCCCAGAGCATCACTGAGCCACCAACATGCTTAACTGTAGGCAAAGTGTTCTTTTTAGCATATGGTTTATTCATCTTCTTCCTCCATACATACCGCTGATCTACCCGCAAAGTGCCAGTTCCTGCTGTCTCGGAAATCTGGTTAAAGCCATTGATAGCTTCCTTTTTCTGTCCCATCCAGGCAGTGTAACCACTGTTCCTTCAAAGTTAAACTTGCAAACTATGCTTCCAATGGCGTATCTAGGAACATTCAGTGCCTGCGCTAGCTTTTTGTATCCTGATCCTTGTTTGTGAAGGGTGATGAATTCTTCTCTTCAATTTGTGGACCATTCCATTGTCTTTTTTCTAACACACAATCAAGCACGACAGTCAAAAAACCCATAGTCAGTTCAGGTATTTCAAGTGTTCCAGTTCAAGCACACATGGTGCAACTAATGAAGCCCTTGATTAATTGCATCAGGTGTGCTTGAGACAACACCTGTTTTACATATGTGCACTGTTGTAAGGGATTCTATTTAAAGGGTTATATAATTGTGAGACTAGAGAAGCCATTATAAGTTGCGTTTTCAGTTGAACTCGGGGAAATCACTTGAAACATTCGTTGTGTTGAACTATTTCAATTGCTTTTGTTTGATTTGTTCATTGCAAACATCTGAAAGTCCACACATTTTGACAATAAACCTGATTTTCAATGGGATTTGAATTGAAGTTTGATGATTACAACTGTATTTAAATGATATTTCACAACCATTAGGCCAGACAATATTATAACACTTTTTACATGTCAGCACAGTCATAGTCACAATTTTACCTACTATTCTGGCTGTCTAAATGGCCTTCACAATTTCTTTCCAGCACTGAAATATTACTAAACCAAACAACCACATCAATTAAAATTTACTGATTCCAAATTTTCTGCCATGCACAAGTCTATTTTTTACCTTGTCATATAGCAATTTTAAAAGCAAGCTACATATTTGCCTTAAAATTAAAATAAAAAAATATATAAATATATGTATATATATATATATATATATATATATTTATATATATATATATATATTGCTAACAAGGAATTATTTGGGATCCAGGTGATATTATTGTTATTATTATTATTATTATGATATTTATAGAGCGCCGTCAAATTCCGCAGCGCTTTACAATGGGTGGACGAACACACATGTAGTTGTAACCAGACAAGTTGGACATACAGGAACAGAGGGGTTGAGGGCCCTGCTCAATGAGCTTACATACTAGAGGGAGTGGGGTAAAATGACACAAAAAGGTAAGGATAGTATTAGACTAGTGACAGTTTCAGAAGAGGAATCAGTCAGGAGCTATTAACAGTTTAAGTGATACGCTTTTATGAAGAAGTGGGTTTTTAACGATTTTTTGAAGGAGTGGAGACTGGGTGAGCATCTAACGGAGGAGGGAAGCAAGTTCCACAGGAACGGTGCAGCCCTCGAGAAATCTTGAAGGCGAGCATCAGAGGTGGGAGTACAGACTGAAGATAGACGTAAGTCTTCAGCAGATCGTAAGGGCCTAGACGGGACACACTTGTGTATACGGGAGGATAGATAGGTGGGAGCAGCATTATGTAGAGATTTGAAAGCAAGAACCAGAATTTTAAATTGAGCTCTATATTTTATAGCAAGCCAATGCAGGGACTGACAGAAGGGTGAGGCATGGGAGGTGCTGGCGGACAGGAAGATGAGCCTCGCCGCCGCATTCATTATGGACTGTAACAGCGCTAGTTGGGAGCACGTAAGACCACTGAGAAGCAGATTACAGTAGTCAAGGCGATAAAGGACAGTGGAATGGTCTAACACCTTAGTCGCATCTGGTGTTAAGTAGTTGCGGATGCGCACAATGTTTTTGAGATGGAATGACAGGATTTGGCGATAGATTGAACATGAGGCTTGAAGGAGAGGTCGGAGTCAAAGAGAACACCTAGGCAGCGAGCCTGCGTGTTGGAGGTGATGTTAGCACCGTTGACTTGGAGGGAGACACAGGAGTAACAACACTTGAGGGAGGAAAGACCAGAATTTCAGTTTTGGTCAAGTTTAGTTTAAGGAAGTGGGCAGCCATCCAGTTAGAAACAGCAGAGAGGCAGTCAGAGACACTAGTCAAGAGGGACGGGAAGAGATCAGGAGAGGACTGGGAGATTTGCATGTCAACTGCATAGAAATGATATTGGAAGCCAAAGGAGCTAATGAGTTTACCAAGGGAGGCAGTATAGATGGAGAACAGTAAGGGACCAAGGACTGAACCTTGGGGGACACCAACAGAGAGGAGTTGGGGAGAAGAAGCAGAGCCATAGAAAGAAACACTGAAAGAGCGCTGGGAGAGGTAGGAGGAGCATCAAGAGAGAGCAATATCCTGTAGACCGATATTGCGGAGGATGAGAAGAAGCTGTTGATGATCAACAGTGTCAAAAGCCTCAGACAGGTCAAGGAGAATTAGGATAGAGTAGTGACCACGAGATTTTGCAGCAAGTAGATCATTGGATACTTTGGTCAGTGCCATTTCCACAGAATGCTTAGCGCGGAAACCAGACTGAAGCGGGTCTAGCAGAGAGTTGGACTCGAGGAAGTCTGTCAATCTCGCATACACAATTTTTTCAAGGATCTTGGATGCAAAAGGCAGTAGCGAGATAGGACGATAGTTGGATGGGGAGTTAGGGTCAAGATTGGGCTTCTTTAGAATTGGGGTTACAGTTGCATGTTTGAAGGGCAATGGAAATATACCAGAGGAGAGAGAGAGAGAGATTGAGAATTTTAGTGAGAGGTGGAGAAAGAGTAGAAGACAGAGTACGGATGAGATGCGAGGGAATTGGATCTAGGGAGCAAGAAGTGGGAAGGGAAGACTGGAGCAGAGCAGAAACCTCTTCCAATGTTGCGGGTGCGAATGAACATAGAACAGCAGAGGGAGTGAAGTTAGGGGAAGTATTGTAAGGGGAAGAAGAAAGATGAGAGATCTCTTCTCTGATTGTAGAGATCTTGTCAGTGAAGTTAGTTGCAAAGCCTGAGGCGGTCAAGTTAGTAGGTGGAGATGGAATAGCAGGGCGAAGAAGAGAGTTAAATGTGTGAAATAGTCATTTGGGTTCGCGGGAGAGTGTGGTTACGAGGGTATTGAAGTAATTAACTTTTGCAGAGGAGCCAAGCTGTATGAGCTCAGCATAAATTTATAGTGGAGAAAGTCAGATGCACAGTGATTTAGCATTATCAGGAAGGCAAGAATGCCTTTGCCATGAGCACTGGAATGTTGGAATGTTTACAGCTGATTGTCCCAACTATGGTAATCAGGTCCTTTTTTCATACAATCTATTAACATAGACACCCTGCAATTCTTAATTATTTTCCTGGGATATAGGAGAAAAAGTAATATAATAATTGAACTGGTCCTTAAGACACCTTTAGAACAAAAGCCCTTTATAGATAACACATAAGCGTTAATGCTTCTCTGCACGCAAAACATTCAATATTTAACATTATCATTAATACTATCTGGAAGCAACTTAGTAATGTATAACGTGCAAATAGACATAGTCAAAGAAATGTGTCAAGCATGACAGTTAAAGTAAATGGAATAGATGTTAATGCCTTCAGGTACAATGATAAAGCTGAATAGGTTTCTTTAACAGCTGTATCACTACTAATAGATTGTTCAGACTATTAGCTTACATTAACACCCACTAATTTATGGGTATCTTGATAAATTGCTCCTGTTGATATTATTCTTAACTAAAATCCTAGAACAATCCTGCACTATCAGATGTCAATTATGTTAAAGAATTATTGTGATAAGAACTTAATTGCTAAACTATTTATTATTCTGTTAAACAATGTTTTCCCCATCATTTAATTATGATTTTAGTGATAGATTTCCATCGAGATATTTTTTTTCACACATTAGGCAATTCTAATTTTCCTTTAACTAGATAATAATAATTTAAGTTTGTTAAGATGGCACTATATTTTTAGCTTTCTCTATAACTAAAATAATTATAGAGGTTATCAGATTAAAATATATTTTCTCACATTTTGACACGATCTTGAACTATATTTGATATGCAGCACATTTTGTGTCCTGTAGGACCCACAAGACAAATATATTGCTCTCCAATCATGTAATGGGCAAATGGTGTTACTTCCTGAATCAGCCATGCAATTATGGTTACATTATTTTATAGTAGTCTATAGTATTAATGGAAATGCATGTGCAAAGGGGAATCAGGAGCATTCCTCTTATATGAAACTCAAAAAAATTATCAAATAATAACAGACTGGAGGCAGATGTCCTGCACAAACATGAAAAGTGGATATTGGCAAAATCCACTGGCAAATGAAAGGAAAATACCATCTGTATTTTATTTAAAAATATAATTTTAAATCTCTTAGTCAGTTGTGCTATGTATTATGAGACAATATAGTTTCTTTTTTCTCATTTATCATTTTTATTGAATGACATTTGCAACACATAACATGGTAAATAATTACAGTCCGCCTTCACAGCAACATTTGCGGATAACATTCTACATTTCGCCCTGTATCCAGCCGTACTTCTCACTCAATTGGTCAATCAACCAATTAAATATACAAATAATCTGTGTGTCAGGCGATGTTCGATGTGATGCATACAGCTTCAAAGCATGCGGTGCATTTTTTTTATATATAACTAGGGAGAGGATGGGATACAGAAGGAAAAGAGGGGGGAGGGGGGGAGAAATCCCTGGTCACAGCTTCACACCACAGCCAGCAGTACATTATAAATCACCTTCCTTATGTAACTTGTGAGATTGATGAGGCTATATGTTCGCCTGAGCACCTCAACGCCCTAACCCCTTTGGTCCCCTAACGTTTGCGCCTGTGTGATTCCTTACTGGCCCGCTATGGGGGTTAACCATTTGGTTCGAGCAGTCGGTTTGTCTTAGTTGTCATTCAGTGACTATGTAGCCGCCCAACATACCCATTCTTTATCATACTTTCCTAGGCATCCTTTCAGCTTGCTGGCCATTTTCTCGTATATGCTAATCACATTCATTTTGTTGATAATCACCTCTACCTGAGGAACTTGTTTGCTTTTCCAGTTACCAGCTAAGGCTACTTTTGCTACCGTCAATATATTCAGAATCACTTTTTTGTGAGGGTGTGTGTCTAGGTCTGGTATAACATGTAATAAGTACTTTTCCGTCGCAATGGGATGGAGGTGCCAGTCTTACTTGAGATCAGGGTTTGGATTTGTTTCCAGAATCCGTCTAGCAACGGGCATTTCCAGAACACATGTAACATGGTTCCAGTGTCCGACTTGCATCTCCAGCACAAGTTCGTAGCGCCTGAGTACATACTCGCTAGTCTCTGTGGTACCAGATACCACCTGACAATATAGTTTCTTTTCTTACAGGTAGGAATAACACTGGGAAATACTCTAAATCCATATTCTTAAATTCTGTATACAAACTGACATGACAAGATGTCTTCTATTCTAACAGTGCTATGCTCACTTGCTAAGCAGTTATCTGGAGGTACCATCAACAAAAAAAACCACGGCATACGCTAATGGAACTATAAATTAGTAACATAATTTGTAAAGTAATAGGAGCAATAAAAGAAAGAAAAGATGATGACACCTCCTCATCTAAATGTGTTTTTATCTTGCCAAGACATAAGTCCAAAGACATAAGAATTAATAAGAGCTGTAAAAAGCCTCTTTATACATATCTACAGACACACAATTCAGGTTAGACATATACCGTCTCTCTTTCATAATCCAAAAAATTCAGATCATCAATGAAACAGCTTGAGATTAGAGGAAAAACTCCCCTTGTGTCCGCAAGGGTTGGCCACAAGCTGAAGTGCTTTAATGATGTTTAATGCCTGTGGCCTTCACAAAAGTCTGAGCCTCCACTTAACCACAACAGAAGATTCAGACATTTTCTTTTACCTTCCACAAATGCTACTTCCACTCAGATACTTTATTCTTTAAGAACCCACTACAATGAAAATAATCTGCTCTTTTACATTCAATATCTCACTACCTTTCTCCTTTATTCATCTTTTGTCTTCTCTACCCTTTAATTTTATTTTAACCTTGCTTCTGTTATTTCCTCTCACTTCTGGGGTCCATCTGGTGGTATGTGTCAACTGACTCAGGTGATGACAGAGCAGTCCCTCCGTGTGACTTCTACATTTAGAATCTCCAGGAATTAAGTAAAGAAACAGCAAAATGTTGTTGTTTTTTTACAGTTTAAGGCATAAAGCAATATTTGTATATTTATTTCCAGCCATTTTCCTATTTGTTTCCTGCGATTTTTGTATAATTTATGAATCTCATGATTATTGACAAACTCACGAAGGACCGGATTTGTGAATAAATATTCAAGATGTGTACCTTTTCATGAATGTAAAAGCTGCCTGACTTTTAAAAGTTTAATAGTTAAATAATAAAAACATGTTGAAGGGGGAAGCCTACCAATAAGATTTTATGTTTAATGGTATTCAGAGTTCAGGATGTTCAGTTATTTTTGGATATCCAAAGTTACTCTATCCTGTAAACTGTAGGCAAATTCCAATCAGCATTACCTCCTTTTAACTGTTGTAATTCAGGTCTACTCCTCAGTTACATTCTGGTGACATTTTCAGGTGGTTACATTTCCATAAATGCCATTAGATTCCTTAAAAATACATCCAAGCAGGAAATTTGACCATTTTCATTTATCTGTTTCTGTTACACCAATTCTATCTGAAAAAAAAAACCCTTGTATGGAATATTGTAAGATAGGGGAAACTATAATCTTTAAAGGTTTTTTTGTTTTTTTTTAACAGTTCTGTAAAGAATGAGGAAATAAATGAAAAAGTTAAATGATCGAAGTCTTTATAAACTAAATTTTTGGTATACATGTTCAGCAATATATACAAAAAGATAGTTTGGGGAATATCACTCTCTTCTGGTACCACTAGAAATTAGTTATCTAAGTGCATAAAGCAACATATTTACAAACAATTAGGCACATCGATGACCTATTCTCCATCTCTACTATAGAGATGCCATAAGGTGATTTATTGAAATTAAAGAAGACAGTATTTAAGTCTTCATTAAAAAAATAATTATATATATATACACGTGTGTGTGTGTGTGTACTCTTAGCATAAGGACAGTCATCCTATGGGATTCTCTAATGGAGAAAGCAGCATTGTACTCAATCCTTTAACCCCTTAAGGACACATGACATGTGTGACATTTTATGATTTCCTTTTATTCCAGAAGTTTGGTCCTTAAGGAGTTAATAAGGTCACTCTGGGGTATAGCAATTCATTTTGAGAACTAATTTATTACAAAGTCTTGCTTCTAATAACGTTGACCTTTTGCCAGAAGTGAACAGGTTAATAAAAAGCAATAGTTAATGATTAAGTAGCTAATGATACAGTACAGTGTGCACTATAGATTTAAAATAAATAGATTTTTAGGTATGTTTTAAATATATATATATATATATATATATATATATATATAGTAAAGCGCTGCAGAATAAATTAACGCTATATAAATACCAATAATAATAGTAGTATATTCCAGTATTGCTACATATAATAATCTTTTTTTATTGCATATCAGTCAACTTTACTTTTTTAATTTTAATTGGACAGAATAATAAAGCAACTGATCTCGTTTTAATGTATTGTGTAATGCTAGGAACAAACATAATATTTTTTGTCTTCTCAACACCCATATTGCCTTTTTTCACACTCAGGCTTTTATTTTTTTGTAGAGTAGCCAGTAGAAACTAATGATATTACATTTCATCCATTAGTTCCTTGCCCACTATTCAGTCT